ATCGGATATCCTGGAACTGGAGTTAAGGATGGTCACTAACAGTCAGTGGTCTTAACCCACTGAGCCGTCTCTCCAGCCCCATTAAATTTCTTTTAAAATAATGTTTTTATGATGAGCACTGGCTGCTCTTGTAGAGGACCTGGGCTCAGCTCCCAGCACCTACATAGCAGCTCGCAAGCATCTTTACTACAGTCGCATCTTTTGCTTATTTCACTTACTGCATTCTGTACCAAAGAATATTGAATACAATTACAGCTGATGAATTAAAGATAAGCTAAGTTATGTTATTCCTTTTTGACTTTCATATTGTGTAGAAAAAACATTTTTCAGGTTGTCTAGATGGCGGCTCAGTGGTTAAAGGCACTTTCCCCTAGTCCGACAACTTGAATTTAGTCCCTAAGATCCACATGGTGGAAGGAGAGAACCAGTTCTAGCTAGCATATTGTCCACTGATCTCCACATGCACCTCATAGGCGCCTCCCACAAATACATGTTCACAAAATAAATAAATATGTAAATAAATTTAAATGATAGATTTTTCATTAGTAACTAATTTTGAGTAATTTTAAGATTATATCACAACTTTTAATTTGTACATATTCAAAGTATTTTTCCTATATTTTATCCTGATGTAAATGATCTACATTATCCATACTAAGATGAATCAAACAACTCCTTTTTTCCCTAAATTTGTTGAGACTTGCTTTGTGACATAGTATATGGTCAATTTTGGAGAACGTTCCATGGGTTGCTGAGAAGAAAGTGTATTCTTAAGTGTTAGGTTGAATCTTTCTGTAAATGTGTTAGGTCCATTTGATTTACGATGCCATCTAACTCTAGTTTTTGTTGGATGACCTGTCTATTGGTGAGAGTGGGCTACTGAGGTCACCGCTATCACTGTGTTGGTGTCAAACTGCTTTTTAGATGTAATAGTGTTTGTTTTATGAAATTGGGTGCCCCTCTTTTGGTACATATATGTTTAGGGCTCTAACATCCTCTTGGTGGATTTTCCTTTAATGACTATCAGGGGACCCTCCCTATCTTTTCTGCTTAGTTTTAGTTTGAAATCTATTTTGTCAGATATTAGAATAGTTACAACCGCTTGTTCTTTAGTTCCATTTGCTTGGAATGCCTTTTTCCATCGATGGTGAAGTGTGTTTCTTGGAGGAAGCAAGAAGATGGATCCCGTTCTCTAATCTAATCAGTTTGTGTTCTTTATTGTGGAATTGAGACTGTTAATACTGAAAGGTAGTATTGGCCAATGTTTATTAATTTCTGTTTTGTTTTTGTGGCATTTTCTTATATCTCTTTTTATCAACTCTTCTGGAATTGTTTATTTAGTCTTTATGCCCTCTTGTGTGTGTTTAATCTTCTCTTTAGATCAAAGTATTTTTTTTAGGATTCCTGTAGAACTGGCTCAGTGGACAGAAATTCCTTAAATCTGTTTTTATCATGGAAAGTTTTTCTTTCTCCTTCAATTACAACCAAAAGTTTTACTGGATATAGTAGTCTAGGCTGGAATCTGTGTTCTGTCGTGACTTGTAGGACACTGGGTACAAACCCTTCTGGCTTTCGTAGTCTCCACTGAAATACCAGCCTTTATTCTGATGTGTCTGCCCTTATATATGACTTGATCTTCCTCCCCGGCAGCTTTGAGTATCTTTTCTTTGTTTTGTACATTTAGTGTTTTGACTATAACATGATGTGGGGAGTTCCTTTTTTGTCTTGTCTACTTGGTATTCTGCATGCCTCTTGCACCCTGATAGGTATCGCTTTCTTTAGATTTGGGAAGTTTTCTTCTATGATGATTTTAGAATTAACATTTTCTTTCATTTGGTGACCCATTTCCTCTACCTTGTCTTTGAGATCTGATATTCTGTCTTACACTTGATCCAAACTATTGGTGAAGTTTTCCCTTAGCTTCTTGTCTGACTTCCTGAGTTTTCCATTTTGAGTTTTATTCAGCTCAGAGATTCTCTTCACTGAATTCTGATTTCATACCTTGAATTATTTTTACTTACTTTATTCAACTGTTTGCATTTTGGCCATCTTTATTCAGTCATTTATTCATATCTTTTTTGAGTTTTTTGAACATATTTATAATTGCTATTTTGAAATCATTGTTTTGTGCGTGAGTTACATTGCCTTTCTCAGGAAATCTTACGATGGGAGTGCTAATTTCTGGAGGAGGCATATTCTCTTTGTTTCTCATGTTGTGTTTCTGCAATGGGGCTTAGGCATCTGGAGTTATATTGTTGATGGTGTTTCTTGTCCTGACCCGCAGGACACTTCTACAGTGGCACGACGAGTGGGGGTCCTAGAAGGAATGACAAACAAGGAACACGAAGAAAGAGAGCAAGACAGTGTTCTGATCAAGCTCCAAAATTTTATTTGAAAGCAGCAGACATATATACTGGTAGTGGAAAAGGGGGGGGAGGTGAGGAGAAGGAAAGTGCTGGGCAGACACTAATTGGTGTTGTTGGATGCTATAGCTAGGGAGGGTTATTCAAGGGGCATTTCTTATCCTAAAGGAACATCTGCTAACTGTTATGGTGAGCATAAAACATTTCTCAAGGCTGACTTAGCCTGGGTCACAAAGTTGTTTTTCTACATTCTTTAACTAAGTGCTATCTTATAGAAACTTACAGAAAACCATTAAGCTGTTTTTTCTCAAGGCCATAAAGATTTGCAGGAAACCATAAAGCTGTCTTTTTCTCAAAGCCATAAAGATGTTTCTCTTCTGGCCTTTTGGCTCCCAACAGTTTCTTGGTATGGATATCTGATCCCACCTTTGTTGAGTGGGTGTTTGGGTCTTTACTGTTACCCTAGCTTGGTGGAATGTGGCCCAGCTTAGTGGTGCTTGGTGCTCAGTCTTGGAGTCAGTCTTCATTGATGTGCAAATGGGGTGTCAGAAATAGTTTCAGTTTAGCCAGGGATAGGTGCAACCTCTGATCCTGAGGTTCCGGACAGACTCTACGGGGTCCTGGGGTGGTGGGGTGCTCAGGGTGGCAGGTGGGCAGACAGGTCAGTGGTGAGTTTTGATTGGAGGAATGGGGCACTTCTAATTTGGTGGCAACTAAGAAAGCTTGCAAATGTAACTCTTGACTGGGTCTATCTGGGATGGTGCACAGGCTGTATAACTCCAGCTATGTCTGGGAGCCAGGATGGTGGACAGGTAATACTGGGACTTGTAAACTCATTAATCTGGAAGATGTACAGGGGTGTGTGACCCAAAGTAGGCCTGGGAGCTGGGACAGTCTCTAGAGAATTCTGGGGGTTGTTAACTAAAAATTTTAAATGTGATGTGTATGCGTGTGTGCGTGTGTGTGTGTGTGTGTGTGTGTGTATACCTTCTAGTATGGAAGTTCTATTGCTTTTCTTTCCCCCAGATGAATTTAATTGTGTTGGAAAACTTGGGGTTTTCACCAGGACCTTTATGTTAATGCAGTCCCACATATCTCCTCAAATCATTTATTGTCTTTGACACGATACACCATACAAGCTACATTAGGAATTCTAGATAAGTAAAGACCAAAGTCAATACTACAGATATATGGCAGAGGTTGAAATTTCTATAATTGTTTCAATTTCTCAAGTATTGAACAGAATTATTATTTTTTTTAAGGAAAAATATAACAATCTCCAAGAACTTCTAAGAGATTCAAGCTGTCCAGCATTTTTGTTTGTTTTTTTGTTTGGGTTTTTTTTTTTTTTGAGACAGGGTCTCCCTATAGCCATAGTAGCTTGGAACCCATTGTGTAGACCAGCTTGGCCTCCATCTCACAGAGATTCACCTGCCTCTGACTCCTGAGTGCTAGGACTAAAGGCATGAGCCACCACACTGAGCTCAAGCTGTCCAGTTTTGACACATGTAGGAAATATGTTCTCTGGAGCTGTTAAATTATTAGAGAAACAAAGGGCTAAAAGGAGGCACTGTTCCCGGTGTTCACTATTTAATAAACCTTGTCAGTGTGCTGCATGGTGTGACGGGAGTTTGAGTTTCCTGCAGCTGGGGAACTCTCTGTCTCAGAACCACATCTCAGTTCTTGACTTCTAAAGGGAAAAGTCCAAGGAAACTTCCTTTTTGTTTTGCCCATCACTCTTTTTCTATCAAGTATGTGTTTATCTTTAGGTCCTGATAATATCTGTAAATGAATAGAGAATAAAGTGTCATTCCTGTTCAAAAAGGCTGTACCTGCAGAGGAAGGAAAAACTCTAGGGAATAAATCAAACCAAGTTATCTAAGAGTAAGCACTTGATACATAAGGCTAGAAATCGAGTGCCTTAGAGTAAGCATATTCATAACAAGACATAGTCCAGCTACGTCTACGTAGTTTAGGGAAGGGCAGGAGAGCTAACATCAGTAAAGAAGTCTGTAGAAAAAGGGGGTTAGCATCATTAAAAAAATACCATAAAAACAGAAGACTTGTGACATCAATGTAAAATTAGAGTACTTGAAAGAAATAGGGGGGATAAAACAAAACCCTCTCTATTCCTTAAAACACAGCAATTCAATTTGTGTTGAAATGCACACAAGAATTGGATTGCTTTCATACATACAAAAATAAATGCATGAGACTGCATGCTGCCCGAAGGTATCAGAAATATGAGAGGAAGAAACTAGGGCAGGGTTACTTTTTCCTCCTAGTCTTCTTCATCCTCCTCCTCTTCCTCCCTCCTCCTTCTCCTGCTCCTCCTCCTCCCTCTCGTACTCCTTTGCTTCTTCTCCTCTCTCCATTGTTGTCAAGTTATAACTACATTTTTAGCTAGTTGACTCAGAGAAAATCCTACCAATTGATTCATCAAAAAATATTTACTTAGTTCATTATAATATGGTCATTTAATTAAGCAAACTGATCCTTATGATTGGTTTGTCCATGACAAAAGACATGCCTCTGTAGACAATGTTCACGAGCATGCTTGAATTGATCTCCTGTTTCTTTTTCTTCACTTAGCTGTGCAGGACCACTGCATCTGAATAGAACATCAGAGAGGCAGAAATGTCCAATCAGACAACAGTGACTCAATTCATCCTCAGGGGATTTTCAGATGTCCCCAAACTTAAATTTGCAATGATATTCTTTTTCTTCTTTGTTTACATGTTTGGCCTACTGGGGAATATCTCCATTGTCACAGCTGTGATTACAGAAAGCCGGCTCCATTCCCCTATGTACTTCTTTCTGAAGAATTTATCTTTTCTAGATATGTGCTATATCTCAGTCACCATCCCTAAGGCATTAATTATCTCCTTCATGGACACTGGGGTTATCTCCTACTTTGAGTGTGTAGCTCAGCTTTACATATTTGTTACACTTTGTGCCACTGAATGCTTTCTTCTCACAGCAATGGCTTATGACCGGTGCTTGGCCATCCTTAAGCCCCTGCTCTATGGGATAACGATGAGCCATAAGTTTTGTTCTGAACTGGTTGCCATGGCCTGGGTATGTGGGGCCATCTACTCAGCCTTCCACACTTTCAACACCTTCTCCCTGTCCTTCTGCGGGCCCAATGTTATTGAACATTTCTTCTGTGACATCCCTCCCATCATGAGACTTTCCTGTACCAATTATCACATCAACGAGGTGGTGGGCTTTTCCTTTAGCAGCTGCATCATCATGAGCTCCTTTGCCCTCACAGTTCTCTCCTATGTGGGCATCATCTCTGCAATGGTTCAGATGCCCTCTGTGGATGGCAGGTGGAAAGCCTTCTCTACCTGCACCTCTCACCTGACCACAGTCTTTTTGTTTTATGGAACTGGAGTTTTCACATATTTGAGGCCTGCCTCTCAGTACTCTCCAATCCAAGGTCGCCTGGCATCCATTTTCTACTCCATTATCACACCCTCTTTGAATCCTGTTGTCTATTGTCTGAGGAACAAAGATATGAAAATAGCACTACAGAAGCTTTACTGTCAAAGGAAGAGATACATCCGAGAATAATACAGTTTGTCCACACTCCAGTCAGATCAGTGACAGTTACTGAAACCACATACTTACTCATGTTAGAAATGGGTCCCTAGAAAATGACCACATAATCAAAAATATTTTGACAAAGCAAAAAGTTTTACTTCTGCAGAAGTGCAAAGCAGCTCCAAATCCAGCAAGCATACACAGTGGGAGTCTCGCTGGTTACTCCTAATGCAAAGGCATCCTGTGCCTTACTCAAGTGATCAGAGATCAGCCACAATTCAAGACAACACAGCCAATCACCACTCATCAAAGAAGTCTCTTTTGAAAAAGATGGAGCCCATTTTAGAGATCCACAACTGGACACACACAGAGAATAAGTGTTTGTGAGATGCCTAACCCTCAGTGACACATCTACAATGGAACCTCTCTGCACCTGAGGCTCATGGAACATAGTGGAACAAGGGGTGGAGAGAACACTAATGCATCTCCCAACTCTCATCAGTGAAGCTTCCTCATACAACAGAGGGCGACTAACACAAAAGGCCACAACTAACCAAACTGTAGAGAATAAGAGATTGCAGAGTGTATTTCCCTGGACAGGACCCCTGTATTAAACCTCATCCACTCATGGCTCAGGTACCATTGTAGAAGCGGGGGAGGGGGAATTGTAAGAGCCAGGGTTGGTGCATGAACATAGGGAAAGAGTCCTCCAGGTTCCAGGGAATTACTCATATGGTGACAGCATGTATAAGACCCATGCAAACTCAATTAGACAAAAACCAGCATAGAACTGGGAAAATGGCCAGGACAAGGAACTATTTGGCAGTTGGTCACTGTTGGATGAGAGAGAGTTGATCTTCTTAAAGGGAGTGACACCAGATAGGCTGAACAGGCTCCAGTGGATGAGCTCACACTGAGGGAAATCTGAGTACACAAACTTGACTCTCTAGGCCTTAACACATATGACAAAATGCATGAAGTCCTGTGGGCAGGCTATGAGGCTGGGTGCAGATAGGGAAAGTGGTGCTAAATATAAGATGTATGAAATCTACAAAAATTCAATAAAGATATATTTTAAAAATATAATGGGTTTCTACGCTCTCTGCTAGGCTCAGAGACCATTGAGGACAAGGGAGTGGAAGAGCCAGACGTTTGTGACAACTGGAATGAGACAGTGTCTTCTGGACATGACAGGATGCCACACTCATGCACTCAGAGTGGCTGTGGTTGCCTGCACAAGATCTGCACAATATCAAGTCAGCATTGTCGCAAGGAGTGAGAAGGGGCTCATGAGCCACCATCCTAACTGAGGAGCTATGATGTCTTCCAGGGGAGGAAAAGGCAGTTTTCTTTTTGGGTGTGGTTTCTAATTGGTTGACCAACCATACTCCAGTGAATGGGCCCACACCCAGGAGTATATAGGCAGAACAAGTTGGAATCAATTGGATATTTAAAAAAGAAAAGTCATGATGTTGCAAGGGGGCTGTTTGGAGAGGTGAGTGAGGGTGGATCTGAGAGGAGTTTGGGGAGGAGTGGATGGTGAATAAGATCAAAATACATTTAATGACATTCGCAAAAATAATAAAAATATTTTGAAGTAAAAAAGACGACACAGCTCAAGGATGCAACCTTGAGCATATGCTTTGATTCTAGAAAAATGCTGACTGGAGGAAGGGATTTTGCCAGATGGTGTCTTTACAAATTTCTTAAAAGATGAAACCTTCTTTGTTGCATTTAATGCTTTGATAGAAAAATATACTCTTATTATATTTCCCACAATTCAATTCCTCTTCATTTTCCCTCCTCTAACATTTTACATGGGTTACCAGGAAAAAAATGTGGGATATTTCCCCATATTCCTGTAATCGAGTTTATGGTCTCTGTACAAAGCCTAATAACCACAATGACCAGCACAGCAAGCTATCTCTATCGGTGTAGTAGTGGCACTTTTATCTAGGAAGTAATCAACATCTATCTAACTGGGCTTAAAGCTGCTCACTTAGAGGGAACTCATGTGTGGTACTGCACACATATCCAAATACATGTGGCTGGAGAGGTCACAGGTTCTAAAGACAACCCGATGTCTGTCACAACCCTAGACTAGACAAATGTAATTAAATAATTAAATATAATTTCTTTCTTATTTTTTGATATTTTTCAGATAGGGTCTCCTTGTAGCCCCAGCTGTCTTGGAACTCCCTATGTAAACCAGGCTAGCCTCAAACTCACAGAGATCTGCCCACTTCTGCCTCCTGAGTGCACCAACACGCCCAACAACAAATATAATTTCTTAACATGTGCTAAATATGGATCCCTGTGTTAACAGACAAATATACCTGTCACCACCCATCAAAGAAGCTTCTTTTTGCCACAGATGAAGGCTATTACAGAGTTCCACAACTGGTCACACATGGAGAATATATGACTGAGAGATGCCCAGCCCTAAGTAACATATCTACAGTGGACCCTCTACACCAAAGGCTCATGGAATACTGCAAAACAGGGGCTAGAGAATACTAATACATCTCTCAACTCTCACCAGTGAAGCTTCTTCATACAACAGACTGTGATGTACACAGAAGACTACAAATGGCTAAGTTTTAGAGAATAAGAGACTGCAGAGTGTCTGCCCCTGGACAGGAGTCTGTATTAAACCTCACTTACCTAGAGCTCAGGGACCATTGTGGAAGATGGGACAAAAAGACTGTAGGAGCCAGGGATGGTGGATGACTACAAGGAAAGAGTATTCCAGGCTTCTGGGAACTTTGTCATATGAACTTCAGCAATGCTATTAGTATGCACAAGACCCACGCAAACTCACTCAGGCAAGACCCAGCACAGAAATAGGGAAAAGGGCAGGAGGCCCCAACCTTAGCCCAGAAACTGTTGGCAGCTGATCACTGCTGGGTGAGGGCAAGTTGGTCTTCTTTAAGGGAGTGATTCTAGATAGACTGACCAGACTTCAGTAGATGAACTCACACCAAGGGACATCTGGAAATACAGACTTGACTTGATAGGCCTTAACATATATGACAGAATGAATGAAATCCAGTTGGGGGGGGCAGCTGTGATAGATGCAGATGGGAGAAGGGCTTTAAATATGTTTAGAGATGTATGAAATGCACAAAAATACAATAGTCTATCTATCTATCATCTATCTATCTATCTATCTATCTATCTATCTATCTATCATCAATCATCATCTATCTATGAAAAATGCATAAGATAGGTCACTTATGGGATGCTACAATTCTCAAAGTTCTCATGCCAATGGCAGGCTACTTCTTTGAAACCATGGAGCCAGGGCATGTGATAAAGAGGTCTAGAATCTAAATTTTCTGTACCTGATCAAAGGCATGATGAAATGTTTACCTCCTAGTTTAAGAAGTTGGACAAGTTGAAGAAGGCAGTTGATGATGCCAGGCGTGGTGTAGCTCACTTGGCAGAGTGGGGGCCTAGCATGAAGGTGGACCTGTGTTTGAGCCCCAGCACTTCATCAACATGTGAGGTAGCCCAGAGGCCTGCCATCCCAGCCCTGCAGATTTGAACACAGGGAGATCTGGTGTTCAAGCTTATACTTGACCTCAGTAAGTTCCTTGGCTTTGTGGGCAAGGTGAAATTCTCTCAGAACAGCAACAGAGGCAATGTAGATCTTTACTCTTTCTTCTACTTTCTTTTCCTTCAAAGTCCTTAAAGTTGAATGGAAAAGAATCAGATCATGATCATAACAGACAAGCTAAAGACTTGCTGGTAATTTAAAATGGAAAATAAGGTAACAAAAACCACTCTCTGCCTCAGTATAATCTAGATCATTCCTTATAGACATGCCTAGAGACATGTTTTCATAGTGATTCTATTATCACCTAGGGGATCTTCATTGTTTTGTTTTGTTTTTTTCTCCATCAACTGAAGAATTAAAAGGCATGAAAATTCTCAGACACAATGTCACAAACTTTATTAAAAGTAAAAAAAATGCACGCATACATACATTCACATAGAGATGAAAGCTCTCCACAAGTGGAGAGGGGATTTGGAAACCTGGGCCTGAGTCTTTCAAATGTTCTTGGTGGTATGGGCAGCCCCACCCAATTTTGGATTGGTCAACTTAAACAGAGAAGTGAGTACTGGTAAGCCACATCTCCAAGCTGAGCTATGTCCAGGGCTGCATGACTCTAAGTTTGCCCCAGCAGTTGAAGGGGCCCTGTTGGAGTAAAAAATAAGGACTTTCCTGCTGGAATTAAAAATAAAGCCTGCCAAGCCAGGCGTGGTGGTGCACACCTTTAATCCCAGCACTTGGGAGGCAGAGGCAGGCGGATCTCTGTGAGTTCAAGGCCAGCCTGGTCTACATAGTAAGCCAGGACAACTGGGGCTACAGGGAGACGCTGTCTCAAAAAAACCAAAAAAATAAAAATAAAAACAATAAAAAAGCCTGCTGCCCTTTTCTCCATCACCTTGTCCTGTGTCTATGGTCTCTCTCTCTCTCTCTCTCTCTCTCTCTCTCTCTCTCTCTTTTTTGGATAGTGCAAAATTTAATTTTACTAGACAAGCAAAAATAGCGATTATTTAGTAACCAAAATAATTTATACAGCTATCTTTTAATTACTTTTAAAAATTAACATACTTATGTAACTCTGGCTACTGTTAGTTACAAACAAGATCAGAAAACTAGTAAACTAGTACAAATAATAACTATGACAGGGGAAAACAAAGACCATGTTCCAGCAAGTCTTACATATCATAAACACTGATCTGTTTAGATTTTAAAACTATACATCAGAACTATTAAATCATTCTATTATGAAAATTACCTTAGAAAAGATAAACACAAGGACAAGTCTGGAGATCTTGACTTACCAACTTTGACCATTACTGGCAGTTGTGTTTTGGGTTTAAAAAAATTATTTATTTAATAACCATATAATTAGAAGAAGCATTTCATTACAACAGCATTGACATATTAAATAACAATTTCCAGAGCTAAGATGCATCTTTTTCAAAATTGGCTGTAAATTTTTATGTTTACAGTTGAA